CGCAGTGGCGTCCGCTGATGTGGACAATTTAGCAGAAGAATCTGGGTCAGACAAATGCAAACGGAATTTCTGCATCATAGACTCCATCAACTTCATGGGTGCAGCTTCGAATTGCTTTTACTGTTGTTGCAGGATAGCGAGCAATTGTTCTGATGAAATGGACATGGTGAGTTCTAATACTGCGTCGCCAAGTGTTGTAACGGAAGCCCAGGCCGAGATATCACCGCCAATAACGCCTTGTGTGAGTCCCCAAAGGAAGAACACGACAAGAAGGGTACAACGACAGAAGTCTTTTGTGGGAGCGGTACAACGTATTTAGGAAACAAGCGCGTGTAAACGATGTCCCTTGAGCTAATCAGGTTCTCTCGTGGAATAGTGGCCGGTCCTATGGGCTGTTGGCTCAGTAGATGACTGTAGTTTGAATTCTGAATTATTGATCGATTGACGGCTTGTGTACGTTTGTCCGTGTAGGCCGATCGATAGCCTGCTTGGAGTGCGGCTATGGTTTGCAAGCTACTGCTTGCTAAGGCTGTTTGTCAGGCCGTCCTTTCATTAACGACCACGAAATGTTTATTCATAATACATCGTATCCATACATTTAGTAATTTTGCCTTTACGGTCTGTAATTCAGATCCATTGCACACTTCCTTGTTAACTATGTGACCTGCTCCTCATACCATAGGAAAAATATGTACATTATCATAGAATGTATGTGGTATTTAGTTTAGAACCCCTAAATTTTTAATCTAACAACCGTAAGTTTTAAACCAAAAGATACCCTTTCTTCATATATAAAATTTAAAGAAGGCATACTTTGCTACCAGATGAATATAAAAATAAATATTCCTTTGCATTCTTTCCTATAAAATATGCTTGAATGTGTAGAGGTAGTGCAAACGAATGAGAAAAATGCATGCCAATTAATTAGTCATTTTTTACAGCATATACTTTTTGCAGATGATCAGAAAGTAGCTGATTCAAAAGCTGATATTCCGTGATGAATGAGATATCTTAAAATTAGACTGTAAACTAATCAGTCTTACAACCCCACATAAGTAATTTGTTGGAATCGAAAGCGCATTTCAAAATCTCGGTTGACATTATGCGATGGACAGCCAACATTCATGTTCGACCTCCTCGTTCAATGATCACTGCCCCAAGGTCATGCAACTTCGCAGACAGCTAGTGTCGAGTGACTAGCCTGCGAACCCTTCATCAAATTCCATTCGCGTACATATGCGCATCTAGACAGTCGCAATCCTGAAACAAATCGGTGTACAGTTACCCACTACCATATAATCCCGATCACAAAACCGACAACACGGCGGACCCGTGGCTCAATGGTTAGAGCGTTCGCCTCTGGCCGGAGAGACGCAAGTTCGAAAATCCGGTGTGGCGGCAATTTCCGCTGCTACGCAAGAGTTGAGCTACCACCATCTGATAACGCCCAATGAGGCAGAAAAGCGCTTCGTGGATGTGTTCTATGTTTGTCAGTAAATACCATTGTTACTAAAAGCTAGCGAGTAACAGAACTATTTCACCTTGAACACATATGATTGGGGTTCCAATTAGCTCGCAAACAAGGCAGCAACCAGGATGGTTACATCCTGAACCAGAACGGTGGAAAGTTACCCATTACTTCACATATAGGTATTTTCGGTGTCCACAATTTAGCATCCGTGATTCACCACCATAAACGATGTTGCCCTGTTTTCGGAGAGGATCGGCTCGAAAGCGTGTCGATTTGTGGCTAACATGAACTAAGTTCGCGTTATACAGGGGCAGTTGACGACATCAGGACCTTACCGTTTTAATTGAGGAGATGTGCGAATGACAACATAACAGTCTGGATGTTAGTTAATAGTCGGGAATAGGGGGACAAATCCATCCTAACAAGTTCTCCTCTCGTAATACCAAAAGGAGGCGGCCTAACTTCTCACAGACTTGTGATAAGACGAGTTAGAGTTTATTATGCATGGTTATGGCGAACCTCTAAGAGCTAATAATTACAAAGTCCTCAAAAAACATATAACCTTATTTTCAGAACTCCTCCTGCTCTGCATCGCATCGCTTTCAGTTAAGAGTCAAGTCTCGACTACAGGTGAATTTTTGGGGAAACACGCCACCCACCATCACCCAACACTTAGTGCGACCCATATTCTTTTGAAGTCTGCTCATCGTGAAGCTAAGTAGTCATTTACTTACAACAATGGTCTCAGAGACATTATTTTCGGACTGCATAGGCTAACAGCCAAAGTTTAGCCACTTGCTGTATATAAACAGGGAATAAGATATTTTACGTCCGATACTCTGAAGCAG